TTGATTGGGTAATAATCACGTGTAGATTTACAAATCGATCTAAAAACTAGCCAATCAGACAAATTTCTGTCTATGATTATCCTCCATCTATAAATAGTTTAAACTAGATGTTGTAATAACATGTAATATTTAGTATAAGTATAATAAAGGATATAAAAAAAAAACCTATCTCAAAAAAAAAAAAAAAGATACTATAACTAAAAAGATTTATAATAAAAGAGAGAGATAAAAAAAATAATCAAGAAAAAAAAACAAAAACAAAAATCTAAAAAAAAAGCAAAAAATAAAAAAAAACACTAGTAATTTGTACAGTAGTAATCTTTTTTATAAAAATTTAAAAAATTTATTTAAATAGTTAATATATATACTGTATTCAATAATTCAAATTTTAATAAAGCAAAAAATTTGCATGTTATGTATAAAAATATAAATAAAATTACTATATATTTGCAAAATTAGCAAAGCTTAATATAAAAAACAATTTTAATACTTACCAAAATAAAATTACGATTTCTCAAAAATGGTTTAGTAATTAGCGTTTGAAGTATTGGTAAAAAATGATTAGCACTTTTAATTTAAACCCTAATTCTAAACCTAGCTTAATTTAATCTTAAAATTATCAAAAACATATACTGGTGAGATTCACCTTCAATAATTTCAAATTAATTCTTTTCAAAATTTCAAAATTAGCAAATAAATTTGCATCCTAAACAAATCAAAAAAATTACAGTATATAGAGATTGTACCCGTCAAGAAAATCTCTACCCGGGTACTCGGTTATCCAAGTGATTTATTATAGCCATATAATAAAAATGTCTACCCGGTAACTATATAATACTTATCAAGTATGGTTAAAAAAAGCGAGTTTCGCATATTAGGTTTCTTTAATTTGATTGGTCAATCATATTGTAAATTAGGTTGCTCCAAAAAAATTTACGTGATCCAAAGCCATTACGGAATCATCAATGTCAACAACCTGTTATTAATAACATAAAACAGATTCCTTACGAGCTTCTAATTCCGATTCCCTTTGTATTTCAACCAAATGACTTGTTCCCCTTAAGGTTGACATCAATGAGCAATGACTTATTTAGATATGTATATAATAATCAAAACTATAACCATTTGATCGTACTAATAGCAGCAATGTCCATCATATCAAAAAATTACATGAACTCGCACATGATGACTTATGACAATCAAAGATAACATTATAATATGCAAATTAACATCATAACAGTAGAATAAAAATAACTACATTATGACTGAAAAACGAATTGTAATTATTATTGATTTTTCGCCCAATATTCTTTACGTACTTCAAATAGACTTGGAGCGTACTCAGGGGAACGTACAATCGAAAAATTTTTAAAGGCATTGCCGTTAGGACGTGACTCTTTCGGTACTCTACCATCAAAATTAAGTAATTCGTTCTCCAGACGGGTTGGATTAGCTATATCGTTGATTGTTTTGCTCTGTTTTCCTTTTTGAAATTTTATTGTGAGATTGCCATTTGATTTGTCAACAGCGATAACCTACAATAATGATAATAGCAATAATCAGGTATCATATTACATAACGCTGTAATAGATATTTATTGGAAAATAAAAATTTTCATACTTTTAAATCCATGGTAACAGAGACACCAATATTTTTAAACTGTCGTTTATATTTTAACGTATCGTCGACTCTAATTATCAATGCCTTGGCCATCTCTTGTAATGTTATTTGAGCAGAATCACTGATTTCAAAATAGTTATTAATTCATTCATTAACTATAATAACAATGATTTAAGCTGTCGAAATAATTACCCTGCAATTTGCTTGTTCCCCATTCTCCCCCAAATCCCGATGCCCCAATCTTGCTCATAAGCGTCGTTCTATTGAAAAAGTCGATGGATTTACAATATTTGACGATGACACATGAACCCTATCATCCTTAAATATACTTACTTTCCAGACATCAGGAACCTCAGTTTTGAACTTTTCTAAATTAGTCCATTGCGAATCAACACCTAATTTTGTGAAATATCCATATTTAACGCTCAATTGGAACCACCATCGGGAATCTTTAAATGCATCGGATAACCAAAAATCGAACCGCGGAACAACTTTGTACGGATCTATTTCAGTAATAGTGCCAGATATTCCAGCTTCATATAGTTTTAGACCTTGAGCTTGGCGTTCACGTTCTATCCTTGGTGTGTCAATAGGTTCACCTGCGTCACTTGCAATTGGAACAAGGTCCGAACGTGGTAGAAGATTCATGAGACGAGTTTTTTGTTCATCTGTAAACCCGCTATAGACATTATGATTGATAATGTGCTAATATTATAAAAAAAAGTGAGATGGATTCAAATGATAAAAAGATTGTTCACTAAAGAGGATGAAATTTTACCTTAATGTACTTATGTCCTAGAGGCGAATTGGGATCGGTGAGAAGCTTCTGAAGGTAATCAATATCTTTCTTTTTCATCCAAGGATGTTTGACCACAATTTTTTCTTGATAGTCCTTGTATGGTGGCTTCGGAAGTTTGGGAATTTCAAATAGTCGTTCTTTAATGGTTTCCCATCTTTTCTGAATAACCGGATCAGTATCGTCATTGGGCTCAGAACGAACAGGATGAGATGATTCTTGAGCAACATGCGATGAAGAAATCGGGTTTGATTTTTCGCCAGAAGACGCGTCTTCCTCGCGGCGAGGCCTTTTGATCCTTGGATTTTCTGGTGATGTTATAGACCTCACTGCACCAGAAGCAGCACTATCATTTTTGGCGGCCGACTTTGTTTTCCTTGGAGGCATTTTCAAAAACACTCTATAATATTTTGTTTAAACTAATAATACCCAAAAAGAATCGACAGAATTACTGTGCACTATCAATGTCTGTTTGACCAGCAGACTCAAGAAACCATTATACGTAATTCCTACGTGGCACAAAATTCGATCCTGCATTCTGATTCTTTGTAAGTGACGGAAATCGATTCTAATTATCTGGTTATGGTAATTTTTTAACCAATCAAATACGTAGCTCTAAAATTTTGAAGTTCGTAGTCCTTTTATACAATTTTCAGTATTTTTGTAGATGCTGCGACTTAGTATACATAATTACATAAATAGAACAAATACAAGTTGAATGGCACTACGCGTCCCAATTATGAGAAGCAAGTATGACGCCTCAAGAATCAGATAAATCAAAATATTTAAGTTGATATAAGAGATGATAAATATTTTAAATTTTGTTAATATATACTGTATAATTGATATATACAATTGCAAAAATAATTTTATTAATCAGTAATTATTTTATAATCAAATTTCGAAATTTGATAATACCGCATTGTATATTTACAGTATACAGTCGACTCTGGATATACTGGACTGCATGTTCTGGAAAATTTTGTTCGGTATAGAGTAAATTCGTTATATTTCTATACCGAACAGTTCGGTATATAGAGCTAACCAATAAAATTATGCTCATAACCGGAAAATCTCGGAATTTTACAAAAATTTTGCCTGTCCTTATTTTCTTCTCGGAATAGTTCGGATCTAATGACTGTATGTTCACAAAGTTATATGATATATAGTTCGTTATATCGAATTATATACATATATATATAGTCCTGGGTTGAAAAGAGTTCGGATGCGGTATATGGGATGCCGTGAACGAAGTCACGAGGCATCCATTTGTCACGACCGTGAACCGGGTCCATGACGTGGGTTATGGTTTGGTATGATGTGGTTGTGACGATGGTTATGCGTCTAGTCTTGGAGGTATGTAAGGATGATATATTGATTAAGGGTATTGGGTAAGTATGTGGTCATGATGAATGGTATTTAAGTAAGAAGTGTGTGGGAAAGTGTTCTCCCTCTCTGCTAGCTCGACGGAAAGTCTGGCTTTTGTTACCCGCCCACCCACCTCTGTTGGAAATTTAGAGTTTTGATTTAGGCTCGATAAATTGGGTGGGTGATACAGGTTTGTAGGGTATAGGATGTTTTAGTAGGGCGACATGAGTGGTCGATGCTAGGAACCGACTGTGGATCACGTGAGTGGCAGAGCATATGTGTATTACATAGGTATTGATTGATTGTATTAGGTCAAGTGACAAATAAAAAATTTACTATTAAAGTTCGGTATAGTTAGCCTAAACTATTATAAAAAAATCCGTTCTGCCTGATCTGGTTCGCTATATCCCAATTTCGGTGTAGACAGGTTCGGTATAGTGGTGTTGCCGCATTGAGGTAATTACAGCTGTTTTCATAAATTCTGGGACACCCTAAAAAAATTTGCCGAAGTCTATTCGGCCGAATTCGATAAGTT